AGACAAAAAGGGGAAAGAAAAACAAATGAAATACAAAAGGAGAGGAAAAGAAACGAATTAGTTAAAAGATAAAAAAGCAAAAAGAGAAAAGAGACTAAAAAAATAAAAAACAAAAATAAAAACAAATAAAAATAAAAAATAAAATTGAAGAAAGACATGAAGAGCTTACAGTCAAAAATGTCTCTGTGCCTCCTCCGTGGGGAGGTGGGAAACCTTTCATTCTGCTGCTGCTGTTGAGCTGCTGCTGCTGCTGTTGCGCTGCTGCTGCTGCTCCCTCTTGCTGCTCGTCGTCGGTTCCAACGGCTTGCTGCTCCGCACCAGCTGCTGCCGTCGCTGCAGCAGCAGCAGCAGCATCTGCTGCAGCAGCTGCTGGCACTCCTGGATCCTCTGCACACTGTCCCTGCTCAGCAGCAGCAGCAGCAGCAGCAGCAGCGGGGTCCCCAGGAGCCGCCTGCGCCGCGTTTTGCGGGAGGCCTTCCTCGTCGTGGTGCTGCTGCTGCTGCAGCAGCAGCATCTGCTGCTGCTGCTGCTGCTGCTGCTGCTGCAGCCCCGAATAGTCCGCAGACAAGGGCCCCGTCGGCAGCCGCCAAGGAGCAGCACAGTTCGGGTGCTGCTGCTCAAACACTTCGTGCAGCAGCTGCAGCAGCTGCAGCCGCTCTATCAAGTCCCACGCGTTCACACGCGTGTCTCCTATTTGCGTGAAGTACGATCTCCCTGCAGCAGCAGCAGCGGTAGCAGCAGCAGCAGCGGTAGCAGCAGCAGCGCAGCAGCAGCTGGCTGTCTTTGGCCCGCAGTGCGCCGCACGGTTTCTGTGTATTGACACGCCAATCTACAAATCGCTTACTATTATTCATTTAATTGAATTAATTCAATTCAATTATATTTATTTATATTTATTCAGCTTTATTTATATTTATTTAGCTTTATTTCTTATATTATTTAATTTTATTTATTGAAATACAAAAGTCGCCACTGGCCCTCCCGAGCTGGCCATACACCCGAATGCATGCAGCGGCTGTCTGGCGAAATAAACAAAAGCGAATTAAAAAGCAAAAAACAAATAAACAATAAACAATAAATAAAATAACAATAAATAAATAATAAATCCATAAATAATAAATTAAATACTAATAAACAATAAATACAAAATAAATAATAAATAATAGCAAAGTCTCACCCTCTTTGGCGTCTTCTTCTTCCTTTTGTCTGCTGCTTTGGTCTTGGTCTTCTTCATCCTCTTCTTCATCTCTGCTGGCTTTGCTTCCCTTCCTTGCTGCAGCAGCAGCAGCAGCAGCAGGTTTGGCGGGGGGCTGGCTGAGGCGGTCTCTGCATGCAGCGACGATTTCTGCTGCTGCTGCAGTGACCACAGCAGCAGCAACGCGCTGCAGCTTTGCTTCCAAAATTATGTCCCCCAGTCTCCTTTCTACAGACCCATAGCGCAGCAAAGCTCTGTAGAGTCTGTGGTACTCTTTAGGAGTGAGTTGTGTGGGGTTAATGGCTCTGGGTTTGCGTCCCCTGCGTCCCCTGCTGCTGCTGCCTGCTGCTGCTGCTGCTGCTGCTGCGCTGCTGCTGCTGCCCGCAGCAGCCGCGGGCGACGCGCCCTCGTCGCCGTCCGCCGCGGACCCGCTCGAGGGCGGGTAGCCGCTGCTGAAGCTGCTGCTGCCCGCTGCTGCTGCTGCTGCTGCTGCTGCTTCCCCGCTGCTCTCGTCGCCCCTGCTGCTGAAGCCCCACGCAAATAGTGCATTTCTTGTTTTTCTTTTTCCATGAACTATTAATTGGTCTTCACTTTGTCTTTTGAACTTGAGTCTCTCGTGGGAAGGAATGCACTGGGCCCAGAACTCCGCGTCGTTTGCTGCTGCTGCTGCTGCTGCTGCTGCTGCTCCCGAAGCAGATGAGGGCTCGTACTTGAACTCCTGAATATTCTGATAAGATGAAAGCAAAGAATCTGCAACTCCTCCTTGATTTGCTTCTGTCACTGTCACTTCTGCTTCTGCAAGAATTAGGTCCAAGTCCACTTCTGCTGCTGGCTTTGCTGCAGCAGCAAAGTCCCCGTACCCTTCCCCGGGGGCCCCCGGGGGGCCCCCCTCCTCCCCCTCCCCGGGGGGCCCCCCTGGGGCCCCCGGGGGCCCCTCTTCTTCGCAACCCTTCGGCCTGCTTTGACTCCAAAGTTTTGTTGCTCCAAACTTCAAAATCCGACTCAAGTCTTCTCTGGAAAAGGAGACACCTGAGCCTGCTGCTGCTCCCGCCAGGTTGCTGCTGCTGCTGCAGTCCCCCCCGCGCTTGTTCAGGCCCTGCAGCAGCAGCACCAGCAGCAGCAGCAGCGCAGCAGCAACACAGCAGCTGATTTCCTTTTTGTTTCAGTCGATTAATACAATTAAATGCAACTTCTAATCGAAAAAGTCAAAAACGCAAAAAGCCTCACCTGCGTAATTATTTGGAAAAAAACAAAAACAGAAAAATACAAATAAAAACAAACTGAATTGCAATTTTAATTCTAACTTTAAAGAGACAAACAAACAATAAATATATTTATTTGTTTTTCTTAAATAACTTTATTTCAAATGAAATAATTTGCCAAAACTTTCTAAACTTCGCCAAAAATGAAATGCCAGAACCAGCTGTACGTACACTTAAAGCTCTCCCATGCAAAGGTTTTCTTCAAAAACGCAAAAATCCAAAATAGATAAAAAAATAAATAAGTAATAAAACGGATAAGGTAAAGAAACAAAGTAAATATAAATGAATGAATAAATATAATTTTATATATTCAAATATAGCAGTAGGTCCAAAGAGGCTAAATTGAATGAAGTAAAAAACAAAAGAAAAAATCTTATCCCAAAATCTAAAAAGTGTAATTGGAGAAAAATAATTTAAATATTTTAATTAAAAATAAAAGCAAATATAAACTAATATTGCATCTAATGCATTACTTCAAAATATATTTTTGAACATCTAAAATTAAAATAAAAAATCTAAAAGTTTGCTCCTACAAAAAACCTTTAAAAGCTCTACTGCTAACTCTTGCACTGAGTACTTTAAATTATAGTTAATTACAATCAATAATAATTTCAATTTTAAAATGTTTAGTATCAATATTATAATTTAAGTTTAATTCTAATTTTAAAATATTTTTATAATTATAATTCTGAACCTTCCTGACCAACTTATTTGAGTTCCCACTGCCGCGAGCGAGTTAGGGTTTAGGGTTTAGGGTTTAGGGTTTCACCTGGACCACGAGGGTGTCCAGCACCATCTTCGCCTTGGCCCTTTCTAAAATGGTTTGTTCAATAGAGTCTTTCGTGCCTAACCGAACTGTCTCTTCTAGGCTGGCTGCTCGAGCTAGGGTTTAGGGTTTAGGGTTTAGGGTTTAGGGTTTCACCTGGACCACGAGGGTGTCCAGCACCATCTTCGCCTTGGCCCTTTCTAAAATGGTTTGTTCAATAGAGTCTTTCGTCACAAGTCGATAAATCTGAACAGTTTTTTTCTGGCCAATTCGGTGCGCCCTTGCCTCCGCCTGCAGGTCGTTTTGAGGGTTCCAGTCTGCAAACCACAAAAAAGGGTTTTGCTGCTGCTGCTGCTGCTGCTGCTGCTGCTGCTGCTGCTGCTGCTGCTGCTACCCGCCTGCTGCAGGGCTGGCACTGCTGCTGCGGCTGCCGCTAGCACTACGACATCCCTCCCGCTGCACTTCTGCGACTCCCGCTGCTGCTGCTGCTGCTACCCTCCCCGCCCCTCCCTCTGCTGCTGCTGCTGCTGCTGCTGCTGCTACCCTCCGCACCCCTCCCGCTGCTGCTGCTGCTGCTGCTGCTACCCTCGGCACCCTCCCGCTGCTGCTGCTGCTGCTGCTGCTACCCTCGGCACCCTCCCGCCGCTGCTGCCGCTACCCTCCCCTGCCCCCCCTCCCGCTGCCGCTGCTGCCCTGCCCCCCCCTCCCCTCCCGCTGCTGCCGCTGCTGCTGCTGCTGCTGCTGCTGCTGCTGCTGCTGCTGCAGTTACCGGAGTCGAAGATAATGACCGTGTCCGCGGAAGTGAGGTTAATCCCCAGTCCCCCCGCCTTCGTGGAAAGCAAAAAGCAAAAGTCCGGACTTGCGCGCGAGTTGAACTGCTCCATCGCCTTGCGCCGCACTTCCTTCGGCATTGTGCCGTCGAGCCGCTGCAGCAGCAAAAGGAGACACTTTGGAGACACTTGCGGCAGCAGGAGACACTTTGGAGACACTTGCAGCAGCAGAAGGAGACACTTTGGAGACACTTGCAGCAGCAGAAGGAGACGCTTTGGAGACACTTGCAGCAGCAGGAGACGCTTTGGAGACACTTGCAGCAGCAGCAGGAGACACTTTGGAGACACTTGCAGCAGCAGCAGGAGACACTTTGGAGACACTTGCAGCAGCAGCAGGAGACACTTTGGAGACACTTGCAGCAGCAGCAGACACTTTGGAGAGAGTTTTGGAGACACTTTTGGAGATGGTTTGGGGACAGTTTTGGAGACAGTTTGGAGACAGTTTGGAGACAGTTTGGAGATAGTTTGGATGTTTGTTTTGGGACAAATTTGCAAAAGATAGATCCATTTAGAGACACATTTGGAGACACATCTGGAGACAAACTTTGATATATACATTTTTGGGATTGTCCCGTCAAAAGGAGACAAAAGGGGACACTTTTGGAGACAGTTTGGGGCGAAATTTGCAAAAAGATTTGGAGATATATTTGGAGACACATTTGGAGATATTTAAAAAACAAAAAGACACATTTGGAGACACGCTTGGAGATTTATTTAAATTAAAAATATATTTGGAGACATATTTGGAGATATATTTAGGGATATATTTATATAACTTTTGGCACTGTGGGGAGGCAAAAAGAGACACTTTGGAGACACTTTGGAGACACTTTTGGAGATGGTTTGGGAATTAATTTAGAGATATATTTGGAAATAAGAAATACATTTGGAGACATATTTGGAGACACTTTTAGAAGTATATTTGGAGACACTTTTACAAATATATTTAGAGACATGTTTAACATATATTTGGAAACATACTTAAAAATATATTTTAAAACATATTTACAAATATACTTGAAAATATATTTAGAAACATATTCGGAAATATATTTGGAAATATATTTGGAAATATACTTGGACATATATTTGGAGACACTTTCGGAAATGGAACTTTTGGGATTGTACTTTCCGCTGAGGAGACAGAAGGAGACACTTTTGGAGACACAAAAAGAGACACTTTTGGAATTTGTTTTAAAAACAAACAAGAGACATTTTGGAGATATCTTGACACATTTTGGAGAAAGTTTGGAGGTTGGTTTTGGAGATAGTTCCGGAGATAGTTTTGGAGATCTAATTTGGGACAAATTTGCAGAAAAGAGACAAATTGAGGGTTTAGGGTTTAGCGACATAATTAAAGATACGTCTGGAGATACATTTGGAGACACTTTTGGAGACAGATTTGGAGACAGACGAAGGGATGGACCAAAAGAAAACTGAAAGACAAATTAAAAGCGAATTAAAACATAAAAGATAAATTGAAAATAAATTGAAAATAGATAAAAAGATAATTAAAAGATAAAAGGCGAAGAGACAGATTAAGAGACAAAAGGATGGGGAGGCAGAAAAGGGGACAGGAAAAGAATAAATTTATTGGTTACACAATTACATAAATGAAGTAACAATAATAATATTCATTTACTTATTTAATTTAAATTTTTCGACGAAAAAGGGAGACAGGTGCGACAGAAAAATTAGGAGACAGATAAAGAGAGAGATGGCGAAATAGGGATATATTAGCGTAAAAGAAAGTAAAAGGATTGAAAAACTTAGAAGAATGAAAAGAATTAAAAAGGCTTAGAAAAACCAAAGGACTAAAAAGAACAAAAAAGGGTGGAAGGGGACGGGGAGAAATGAAGGAGACGAAAAGAGAGAAAATAAAACGACGGAAAGCGGAAAGGAGACCACGAAGGAACAAGAAAAAGGAGCCAAAAGAGAAAAGAGCCAGCGGAGGAACAGGAGACGAAGTGGAGAGAAGAAGGGGACAAATGCGGGAGAAAAGCGACAACGGAGCCAGCAAAAAGAAAGGGACGGGAAAAAAGGCCCGGCAGCTGAACAGAGCCCAAACCAGCAGCAGCAGGAGCAGCAGCAGCAGCAGCAGCAGGAGCAGCAGAAGCAGCAGAAGCAGCAGCAGCAGGAGCAGGAGGAGCGGGGACCTGGTGCTTGTATCCCCGGAGCTTGAGGAACTCGGCGAGGATGTTGAGCATCTTGACCATCTGGGAAAAGATGAGGACGCGGTGGCCCTTTTCCTTGAGCCTCTTGAGGAGCTTGTCGAGGAGGCGGAGCTTCGCAGAGCCGTCGACGAGGAGACGGTCCCTCTCCGCCGTCTCCTCGGGGGCCCTGCAGAGGAAGGGGTGGTTGCAAACCTTCTTGAGCTCCATGCAAATGTTCTGGAGACTGGCCTTGTTGGGCCCGCCCTTCCTGACCAGCTGCTCGTAGTTCCGCGTGAGCACCAACTTGTAAAAGTGCAGCTGCAGCGGCGACATCTCCACTCGCAGAATGCTCTCCACCTTCTTCGGAACGCTGCGCTCCACGTCCTTCTTGACGCGCCGCAGAATGAAGCCGTTGAGCTCCTGCTGCAGCGCGGCGAGCTGCGCCGCCTTGGCCTCGCCGACTTCGTCTTGCTTCTCGACGAGGTGGTACTTGCTGCGGAACTCCTCGGCGCTGCGGTGCACGCCGGGGTTGAGGAAGTGCAGCAGGTTCCAGAGCTCGTCCAGGCTGTTGTGCAGCGGCGTGCCCGAGAGGAACAGCTTGTGCTGCACGGAGAAGCCCGAGAGTTCGATGAACCTTTTGCTGTGGATGTTCTTCAGCTGGTGCGCCTCGTCCACCACCAGCAGCGACCAGAACACCCTCTTCAGGAACTCCGCGTCGCCGCCGCAGTTCAGAATCGACGGCGTCGTCACGCACACGTCGAACCTGTACACTGGCAGCCGCGCATGCAGCCGCTGCAGCTCGTAGTTCCTTATGACGCTTCGCGCTGCTGCGTTTCCGTGCACTGCGACGACGTTTGCTTCCGGCAGCCAGCGCGCGAACTCCCGCAGCCAGTTGTCCAGCGTCGACTGCGGCACGAAGATCAGCACTGGCAGCAGCACCAGCTCTTCGAACAGCAGGTGGCCCACCACGCCGATTGTTTGCACCGTTTTCCCCAGTCCCATTTCGTCCGCCAGCAGCACGGACACGCCTCTCTTCAGCCGCGACAGCACCCAGTTCACCCCCGTCAGCTGGTAGTCCCGCAGCTGCTGCTGCGCGCCTGCGCCTGCTCCTGCTCCCGCCGCCCCGCTGCTCCTGCTCCTGCTCCTGC